GTGTGTGTGTGTGTGTGTGTGTGTGTGTGTGTGTGTGTGCGCGTGTGTGTGCGCACGCGGATGTGTGTGTGTGTAGGAAGGACACAAGACAGTGGATTGCTTGGATCCGGCTGCAGGCAGAGAGCAAAAACGTGGGCGCGGCGGAAGAAGGCCTTCTGTTCGTCGTCATAAATGTCAGAATGGCCACCACCCACACAGCCATCGCCGACCACGTCCGTCACGTCTCCGTACGTTTTTGAATCGCACACGCAAAAATGAACCCGCAAGTGTTTGCTCTGGCTCACTTATCGCGCAAGTTAGCATCAATCATATTTAAGCTGCTATGCGAACCAGATAAAAACATACAATGGAGCTGAGTTTTTTTTTTTTGTTTTGTTTTTTGTTCCTGCAGTGTGGAACTGAAATGAAAGATGTCTTTATACATCTCCTGTACGCCAGATTGATGATTAACCGGCGGTGACATCATCCCGTCATTACCGGCGGCGGCTTGACATGCGCCCACGCAGTTTAAACAGGTGGCTTTGATAGGGTTTTACAACATAAAAAAAAAATAAATCACCCAGCGAAAATGTTTGTAACTCAATGGCAGACGAGGAGCAACCTTTATTTGTACGTTCTTGGAAAATGATACATAAACAGCGGTGGCAGGATATTATAGTTCACGTAAAAAAGACGACGGTTACTGACGACTTTTTTTTTCTTAACGATACGAAAATGGAGGATGCAGAATTTCGACGTTCACTGTAAAATTAAACGAAGAGTGTGTTTGACTAAACCGTGTAACGTCTAAATTCTGTGGGCTATTAATGCTAACATACAATTCAAAACACTATCGGTGGGCTAGCAAAATTAGCGTTGACACTGTTGTAATTATAGCTTTTTAAAAAGCTTATATTTGAACACAAGCGACATCAACACACACAACCAGTGCATGCGGCAATACTCACAGGCATATATTCTTTATCCTCTTGCCCCTCCCCCCTCAAAAAAACCCAACTATCATTACTGCATCTTAGTTAAAAAGGGCTTCCTCTGTGTTTCATCGTTAAAATCGATGTTGTATTTCTGTATTTATTATACCCCCCGCCTCCCCCAGGTGACCAAGGTGCACACACCAAAATTTAATGTGCAGGTTTTCTCCGAGTACTCCTCTTTCCTCCCATATTTTGGGAAAACGTGCATGGTCGTGTAATTGATCACTCTTAGATTGTGACTGTTGAATGGTTGTTTGTCGATGTGTGCCCTGCGATTGGCTGTTTACCACTTCAGGGTGGGCGGGGCTCGGGATCTGCATGATGAACCCCCTTGAAAAAAAATCGACTTATTCACGGTTACCTTGATGACCAATCAATTTTATACGCTTATTTGAAGCAATACCGAAATGCAGCTCCGCTTACCGTTTGGATTTGACTCGCTTGAAAATCCTGTCTTCGGCCGGTCTGGCTTCACTGCACTGCTGAGAGACAACTATTTGAAATCAATTTAAATTTGAGAGGAGAATATCGGTGAAATACCAGCTTGGTATCAGGTGTCATAGTATCGGAGTATTTCCACGTGTCAGAGTACAGTTGCGGTATCGGCGGCTCGGTGACAAAAAGTCCTGCAAATTTTGTCTAATTTCATGTCAATGCTCCACAACCAATTATCTGAGGTGTAAACTTTCAATTTCTCCCCGTCTCGTTGTTGTCCAACAGCAGGATTGAGGAAGTCTTTGTTAGAGACTTCATTCCAACCGATCAGCGCTTCCCCTCGATGGGTTCCAGCCCAAAGTTAGTCACGTCCGCTCTGAAAGAAAAGTTAAAAAAAAAAAAAAAAGATAATCACATTACACGCAGCTTTTACAGCAGTAGCGCATCAGTACGCCTATAAAAATAGGTGATTGATGGTTGTGTTTTATCATAGTTAGGCTTCCTCCCTCTACTTATACGGCCATAAATAAAAATTTCAAACGATGGCGGATGCTCGGTGCTCAGGTTTTGAGTGACGCTGTCACAGAGAAGAGGATTGTTATGGTAATAATGATTTTTATTGTGCGTGTCTTTTGGAACAACACCGCTTCACATTGGACGGTCGACTAAAACATGACTGATTACAGTGAAATCATAATTCGGGTTTTTTGACGCATTTGTTAAATCACCACGAGGGATAGTGCAGCTTGAAATGCTTTAATGCGGACTCTTTTAATTTCATTGCAGTTTTACCATCTCATATTTGGTGTGAAATAGATCGTTTGAAGCTTTGCGCATAACAAAAATATTGGTCTTGTAACACAAACAAACCAAATTGTTTTTTTGTGAAGGAACTTTGACATCCTGGTGTAATAATCATTTTTAGAAATGATTTTGGTGGGGTCAACCTTATAGTGGCTGCTGATCTAAAGCATTCGTTTGGTAAACAATGCACATGAAGGATACAAAGTCCTACAAGTCAACAAGTACAAGTCCTTGCGGCCTTCTTGGTACAATGGATGTGGGCTTTTTTCTTTTTTTTTGGTGGTAATTTTGTGTATTTAGTTGCATTTTCTGAGAAACCTCTTTCGTAAGAAAAAAGGTCTTCTATTTTAGAAAGCACAAATGATTTTTTTTTTTTTTTTTGAGGAAAAGATGTCCTTGATGCAGTATACAGTTGTTTGGTCTCTTTTCTTACAAAACCTTGCACTTGAAAACAGGGGTGTGTAGACTTTTCATAACCACGTTCTTTTTTTAAATCGATTATTTTAAAGAAAAGATCATATTGGTAATATATGAATGAGAAAAAGATTCTGGACTTTTTTTTAACCTACATTGTATAGTTTTAAAAATTATGAATGATAATGTCTTTATCTGACCATTGCCACTTTCAGGCATCATCAATGAAGAAAAAAAAAACACCACCTTACTGGATCTTCAGTTCTTATCATAAGTGCACCACACCAGGAAAAAGTAACCTCGTCAAACTAAAGTAAACCAACGCACTCAATAAAGCAGCTCCGACTTTGATATATCGTGACAACGATGACTTGATCCTCTTTGCTTGGGGCTTTGGAGACGTTCCCATGTTGAAAGGCAACTGTTTCTCCTGTAGGGGGCGCTGCATGAACGCCTCATCGGTGCCAGTGCTCAGTCCTTGCCGCCCGGCGGTTCGCCAGTTGTTGGGAGCTTCCAGTTGAAAGCTACTTGAACGGATGGTTAGCATCACCGCGCTAATTAGAAAGCGAAAAAGTGGAGGGGCCAGTAGCATGTGGAAATCAGCTGTGGAGTAGCTGAGGGTGGCAAGTTGGGGTGGTGTTGATACACACGCACGCACACACCCCCACCACTATCCCTTCAGGCAATATGAGACGTCAGGGGAAACTGGAGGAGGGGGAATGGCTGCAGTCACTGGCCCATGTAATGGAACCATGGAAATACTCGCACACGCACACTTGGGGTTAATGCATGTGACTGTGCGGGGCCCTTTCGGCTGCAAGCAGATACTCCCTTCAGTTTTTGAAAGAGGGATCTCCAAAATCCAAAATCGCATACGTGGTACAATTTTGAGTTGAACAAAAAAAAATGTAATACAATTCTCTTTAATGATATATTTTTTTAAACAATTTTTTTAGGATGCTCATTCAGTTTTGCAGTTCATTGTACAACTTCGGTTATCTTGGCACATTTACAATGGCCATAAATAGTCGACACACCCCAGGTTTTTGGGATGTCACAATGGAGACCAGGATAAAGCTGTAATGTGACCTGTAACCTGTAAAACTCCATCGCATTTTCTTCCCTAATCTTGAGCTCCCTAACTGAAAAAGTGCCTCTGGTTAACCCCAAGTACAGTTAAGCTGTTCAAATAGGCTTTTGCTGACTTTTTTTTTTTTTTTGCTTTCTGGCAGAAGACTGAAGATGTTGTGCTAACACAGACTGCTAATTCTCACTGTTATTCCCTCCACCTTGTCTCAGGCCCCAGTTCCAGTTGAAGAAAAATGGCCGCTGTTGAAGATGCTGAGGCCAGCACCAAACCTCACTGTCGGTATGGTGCTCTTTTTTTGTCTTTTTTTTTGGCTATCAGCGTCTTGGCACTGTAAGGTGGACGTGCAAACCAGTCAACCACCGTGCTGCGTGAAATAGCCTAAATATCCTAGCGGAGTTGATATTACTGATGAAAGTATGTGAGGGAGGACGTGCAAAAACATGTTGGCCTTGTAAAACAGGATGATAATTTGGTTGTTTACAAGTGAGCAACACCTTTAACAGTTTCCTGTCATGTGATCAACATGTCTCCAAGATGTCCCAACACCTGCCATCAGGAAGGGGAAGGAAGCCTCCCGCTCTCATTAGGGGCTGGGGAATCACCAGCAACGTGAGTTTACAACCTGCTGTGTGTTTGTCTGTGCGTGAAAATATTTGTTGTGCAGCCCTCTATGAAGGTAAAAAAATAATAATTTAAGGGGAGTGCGGGTGAATTCTAAACTGGTGATTAAAATGTTGAAGACACTCTATAGAAACAATATAAGGAACATTTATAATACAAATTTGAATTTATTCATTGCCAATCGTTGGGGTGGCAGCTTGAGTGGCAATGCATTTGGTGAAGGTGTTAGCCGCCACCCTGTAAAACACGTCACTCCGATTAATATTACATTTGCGAATTAGGAATTAAGTGGCAAAATGCACCTGTTTTTGTCCATCTCAGGAGGCGGCCATCTTGCCACTTCCTGTTGACTGAACATGACATCAAGGTTGCTCAGGTAACGACCAATCATGGCTCAGCTTCAGAAAGCAGGTGAGCGGTGATTGGTTGTTAGCTGAGAAACTGTGACGTCATTTTCAGTCAGCACGACGTAGAAAATGGCCGCCCCCTGAGACGTACAAAAACAGGTGCATTTTGGGCATTTGGGCATGTGTTTATACTATCGGAAGCACATAGAATATATTGTTGTCACAAAGATTTTGGAGTTGACTTCCCTTCTAAATTCCTGGATATTAGGAAGCGACTGTTTCTCTCACCCAAATTCACCCCCTTTTGGTCCTCAATGACATCATCATTTTTCCATTCTCTGATTGGTTGGTCAGAGCAAAAGTTGTTCCAGCTAACTTTGACGAGCAAAACATTTCTTTAGCAATCCGCACGCAATATTCATCATCATCTTATAACTCTGTTGAGTATATTTCATGTGTTAATGATTTTGTCGTGTTATGAGAGGAATGCTAATTGGGAGCAGCCGCAGACGACGTCTACATTGCGTTTTGATATAAAACTGATTTCTATAAATGCGATGTGCTAGTTGTGGTATAAAGAAGTGGATTAAGTTTGACAAGTGTCCAGTTACCACATTCACCGTTAGACTGTGCGGGTGTAACGATCGTGAGTCTTGTGGCAGACCTTGTGGTCGTATACTGCCCGTCGCGCATTTCCTTGTATTTTTCTTTGGGCAGAATGTTTGATGTCGGAGAGCCCTCACGTGGGTAACGGCGTATGACGACAAACGTGTCACGATCCGACGGCGCGCGTGACAAATGTGCCGTTTTGGAAGCAAGCGATTCGTTATTTGCGCCTCATTTGATGCCCTGCCATCACGCGCCCCAGCGCGTGTGACCCTTCGCCACTAGATGGCACTGCGCTCGCAGCCATGTCGGCACCCCCCCCCCAAACTCCCTCATTCCCCCACCCCTTCGGCACACACTAACCTTATTCCCTATCTATCTAATTACACATTAGAGCTGTAATATGCCATTCCACATCCATGGGTCTCAGATGAATGGTTTCTTCCCCCCTCCGTCGCTCTTCTCATCTGCCGCCTTCCATCCTTCCTCTTTTACCTTCTTCCAGCCCTCCCTCCATCTTGTTCCGGCCAGCTTCCCTCAATTACTGTCACAGGCGGCCCACAACATTGCAGGGGGGGCGAAGCCGAGCGGGGGGGAGAAACGACGCACGTGATGAGAAGAGGAGACAGCCGTGACATCGTAAGAATTGGAATTTACAGGTGCGTTGCGGACGCTAACAACTTTTTTTTTTTTTTTTTTAAACAAAGGTTACACCAAGCCTATGTTTTGAATTCCCTTTAGTGGATCGCGCCTGTCCCAAAGTGATCGCAAGCCCATATGGACAAACAAGCATTCACATTCACACTCGTGGGCAAATTAGTCCCCAAGGAATGCCCTCAAGAACGTGGAGAACATACAAGTTCCACACAGAAAAAATATTTGAAACAAGAAATGCTTCTGTGAGCCCATACTGTCCAGTTGGAAGATCAATTTGTATTGAAATAAATTAGCAAATAAATAAAAATATGATAAGTTTGAGGAAAAAGTCGCTAAGATATGCATGTCAGATCCCGTTTTCCAGCTTCACGTTTTGGAATAGGCTCCCGCTCACCCGTGACTCGGAACAGGATCAGCACTGTCACACTGATTCTTAACAGCCCTGTTAAGTGAACTGAAGCTCTTCAGTTAGAAAAAAAAAGTAGCGCTCTGCTGTTATTTTGTGGCATCTTACAGCCGCGGATCTATGTTGAAATTAGTTGAGAGCATTTATTTATATAAATGTAGTGCTTTGCTGCCATTTTGTGGCATCTTGCAGGCAAGGAACTATGCAGAAGTGAATTGAGGAGCTTAATTTAAAAATAAATAGTGCTTTGCTGCCATCTTGTGGCATCTTGCAGCCAAGGAACTACGTTGAGGTGAACAGAAACCCTTCATTCAGACAAAAGTAGTGCTCCGCTGGCATCTTGCTGCCAAGGTACGAGTCTTAGCCTGTTCGATTGAAACGAAGCGCTTTATTAAGACCAAAGTAGTGCTTTGCTGCCACCTTGCGGCATCTGATTGCCAAGCAACTATGTTGACGTGAAATGAGGCCCTTCATTTAGAAAAAAAAAAGTCGTGCTTTGCCGTCATTTTGTGGCATATTGCAGCTCAGGAAACTACTTGGAAGTGAATTGAGGACCTTTGTGGCATCTCGAGGCACATATAAGTCGTGGGGGCATCAATTACTTACTATTAATCACGATTTGCAGCGGGCCTCGGTCATTATCCACCGTGCGTCTGTGTGGTCAGGTCAGGTCACGGCGATTCCCCCATCCGTCAGATATCTTCATTAGGAGCTCGCAGGGGCTGGCGTGCTTCATTAAGAAGCCCTTTCACGCCTTCCACGCCTGCAAAATACTTCACACGTAAAATCCCTAATTTCCTGTCTGGCTGAGTGTAATTGAATCATTTGACATGAGGAAGATAAGAATCATTCATTCTCCGAGGTGTCCTTGCCAGGCCATCGTTTTTATTATGCGCGCGTGGTGTTTGCAATATTGCAAAGGCATGGTATTTATTTATGTATGTATTTATTTATTTACAGCTGATATCCCAGCAGCAGGTGCTTGCTGGGAGCAGAGGGACCTTAATAAACGCGCCGCACGCCACCTGCAGCTGCACACGCATGAAGACAAGACAAGGGTGGTGATTAGCGGCATCAGCACACGCAGCATTTGACTGCTACACACCGAATGGATTCCGGGGACGGCGTCACCTCCAAAGTTGAACGCAATCCGTTCGGCGACGCCGTTTGATTTTTCGGAGGCAATTTTCCTCATGGGAGGTCATGGAAGGTGAATTCATTTCTTAAAAGAAAAAAAAGTCATCAAATCTGTATGTACTGTAGTGATGCATGCCAAATTTGTAAATGTCATCATAAATGGAACGAGAAGTTAACCGCTGAGTGATCAAACTGAAATAAAGTAAAACTACTTCCACTTCAAAGTGGCACAATGGTGAGTGAGCGCGATAAAACGAGACATGACACCTTCACAAATTCATTCGCAGAAATAACGCCATCAAAATGTCTGTCTGCTGTTGTGTGACTGCAAAATGACTGCCATACTTCAGAACACAAGATCCCTCTGCTGTATTGCAACAACGTCATCATTCTCCCTCCACTGGCATCAACAAGTGGGTGAAGTAAAAATGGATACTAAAAAAAACAACTTTTCAGAAAACCGACATGCATTTGTGTTAATTTTTGTGGAGGCAAAACTGGAGAAAATTCTGTGCACACTGAAATGTAATTAGCAGCGTCAGAAGACATGAAGCGCAGATCGTGGACAAATTAAAAACATTTTTATTCGAACTTTTTTTTTTTTAAACAACTGCCTATAATTCCAAGAGGTAGATAAGTCAAATTAATCGATTTTGAAAATGACATTCAGTGGAGTATGTATTTCCCGTTGTCGGTCAAATGATTTTGTTGATGAAAATGGCCCATTTGATATACTGCCCCCTAGTGGCCAATTCACACAAACCTGAAGGAGCCAAGCATGAACTTGCGATGCACAAACAGTTTGATTCTTCTTCACTTTAGTGAGTGTATATTTTTTATGAAGTACAACAATGTAAAGTGTTATATTTCCAATTAAAATAAACGTGTTACTATCTGCGTGTGTGTGTTTTATGGAGTTGCTGGAACGCATTGATGGCATTTCCACACACCAGGTAGTTTTCCTAACCCAATCGCTGGGTGTCTCCGGATTTTGAGCAGATTGCGTCACTTTTCCCAAGGTTCGGTTAAGTTTTTTTTGACCCAGCAGATTGAGTTGAAGACTGGAGTTGGGCAGGCTGAAAAGATGAAGCGAGTCGCCATTTTGAACAGTTTTGTGGATTCAAGTTCAAGTACATTTAATGTTAAAAAAAAAAAAAAAAAAAAAAAAACAGCATTGACTTCGTCCATTTTGGACTCAGCGCTGGGTTGGTTGGTTATTTCACCCAAACTGGGTTACTTTTGACACAACACGTCAATGAGCACATGCATTTCAATGCTGAGGGACCATTTGAGAGTGCACCGAGTTACAAGGGTGGTCAAATTCAACTCCTGCGTCAAGGCACCACTTCGTTACCTCCTACCGCGACCAAATTTTACCACCGATTAGTTGTTGGGTGTTGAAAAAGGCTTCGTTGTGAACTGCCAGACTAAAACCTGAACTGTGTTTTAAGAAGGGGAGCGGGGGTGAATTTGTCCCGCAAAGGCGAGTGAGCTGGTCAGCTCGACAGGCCGCTCCATCAGGGCAGCTGGGGGTTAAGTGCCTCGCTGCAAGGCGAAATGATGATGGCGCTTTCTCACCCTCTCCAACACACACGCACACACACACACACACACACACACACACACACACACACACACACACAGACAAACTCCAGCCCTTCCCCGTCCCCCGCCGACCACCATCGCAGGTACTTAAAGCGGTGACATCACGGCCGCACGCTCGTTTGTCTTTCCGTTTTGGCGGCGCGACGGTCGTGCATCACGCCTCCTCATTAGACACCCACACACACACACACACACACACACACACACACACACACACACACACACACACACACACACACACACACACAGACAAACTCCAGCCCTTCCCCGTCCCCCGCCGACCACCATCGCAGGTACTTAAAGCGGTGACATCACGGCCGCACGCTCGTTTGTCTTTCCGTTTTGGCGGCGCGACGGTCGTGCATCACGCCTCCTCATTAGTCCCTAATCACGCACCGCCGACAACACGCTCGCTGGCCTCCCGAATGTTAGCGGCCCCTTGAGAAACGGCAACATCCCCCTCCGCATTTATTGCACCTTTTCCAAGGTCAAATTAAAGCTTGACAGCAACAACATGGCAGACGGAACGGTAGTGTGATAAACAGTGTTGCCATAGTTACCTTGGGAAAAAGTAACTCAGTTACTTCAATTCAAATTATTGTCTCACATCATCAGACAAACACATCATTTGCATCATCATTTGGAAAGCTCATGTCTCGGTCTGGAATTGAGAGTATTTGGGATCTTCTGTCAAGACCAGGACTGATCTGTTATTCTTAAACTTAATTCATCTGAAAATGAGTCGCACTTAGGAAGACAGCAAATACGTTCAAATAATGTTTCACTAGCCCCGCCCCCCCACAACTCCACATCTCGACTACCCTTTCCCCGTGACTTCATTTTGAAAACAACGTGCAAAAGAAAACACTGCAAGTTCTGCCATCCTCAACTTACTGAAACGGCGTCGACATCAAACTTTATCAAGACAGGTAAGTCATCGTTAGCTATAAGTCACACCAACAAATCTAAATTGAAACCCTAATCTTGTTTGAAACTCGGATTTCAAACCACAACCAGAGTTCAAACCCCTACTTTGAAACGTTAACCTCAGTTTGATACCATGCTTGGAAACCATAAACCTAATTTGAGATCCTATTTTGTAACTCTAATCCTAGTTTGAAACCCTACTTTGAACCTCCTGCCCTAGTTTAAAACGCTACTTTGAAATCCTAGCCCTTGTCTGAAACCCTACTTTGGTTTCATGCTAGGGTTAGGGTTTCAGACTTCGAAAAGCCCACCCTAGTTTGAAACCCTGCTTTGAACCTCTCGCCCTAGTTTAAAACCCTACTTTAAATCCAGACGAGATTTTATTTTTTTTGCAAGGAACGTGGAGAGTATACAGCATTTGTAGTCGGAATCCAATCGCCTTTGTGGTGGGGGGGGCTGTTAACGCAGACCTCGATTGCGATGAGTCTGCTCTGTCACAGAAAAAAAAAAAAAAAAACGGAATAAAACAAATGAATTAATACATATGTTTTTTGTTTGTTTGTTTGTGTGTGTGTTTTTTTTTTAATATATATATCTGTGCAGAATGCGCAGGATCTTGGTCCCAGTCCGGGGACCGGTGGTTGGGTATTAAATGAGTTAAATGACATATAGAAGCATGGAATAGTTCTTCAAAAGGTCATCCATTGTCTGTGCTATACTAAGAACATCCTTTTATACCTGCTCCTTGTGCCGAAAGGTTGCAAAGGGCTTTTTTGAGGTGGGTGAAAGGTGTGTGGCGCTAATTGAATGATGCTGGGGGGGCGGGGAGTGGAGAGTGGGGGTGGGGGGGGGTCCCTAATTAGACACAAGGGGCTGTGACATTGGCAGCACGGGAAACAACAAGATCTTGGAAAGACACGCAAGCGAGGGGGAGTTGAAGGACGGCCACGGGGAAAAGCCTTGCACGCTAACACATCCTCCCAAGGCCTTTGAGAGGCTATTGTGGGAGCGTGCGCACACACGCACACGCACACGCACGCACACACACACACACACACACACACACACACACACACACACACACACACACACACACACACACACACGTGGGGTGTGGAAAGAGGATAAAGCGAGATGGCTCTCCAGCAGCCTCCTCCTCCTTCCAGCTCATTGACTAATGTCACGGCAGACTGAGATTGTGTGGTAGGGGGCTTTAGGAGGTGGCGAGGAGGGGAGGCGGGAAGGGGGGGGGGGGGCGCCATCGGGGGAAATAAAAGGAGTGACGCGAGAGCGCATCCCACGTCAAGGGGGGGGAAAAAAAAAATAAACACCTTGCTAAGCCCGTCAGGCAGCAGCAGCGCCGCCGCTTGCGCAAACACGACGTGAAATCAGGCCGCTTTCACGCCGCCGTCGCATTCTGCCGCTGCCAAAATGGCTGTCTGCGCGCCATATTGCGGCTTAGCGCGTCGGGCGCACAAAAAAAAGAAAAAAAAATGTAAATGAAATAAATAAATAAAACATGTCCAAGCGACGGACTTGACGGCGGTGGACGGCGTGCCAGCACGGTGCGGAGAGACAATCGCAATTTGCCCTCGCCTCGGAAATGGCGGCCAGCCAAAATGATGACTGAATGCGTTGAGGCCTGGAAATTAGACATCGCGGCATATCATAACGAAACCTAGACCAGATGCACTTTTCACCACTTTAGTGAAAGTCAAGGGTTTAGAATTGACATCAGATTTGATTGGATTTGCCTGTTCAATGATGCAAGTTTTTTTTTTCTCACAAGTGAAAAGTTAAAATCAAGCAAAAAAAAAAAAAAAAAAGTTGCATTACTTTGCTTCCTGGCAGGCTCCAGTTGGTTTGAAGGTAACTTCATTCACCAACAATTAAAAATGGGATTATAAAAACCAAACCAAAAAAAAAAAAACATAGCACCCCTCCCTGTCATTTGATCAAGGGGGATGTGTAGACTTTTTCCACGACATCTCTTCACCACATTTGTCATTAGGTTTTTTTGGCTTCTCCGATTGTGTGAACAGAAATTATGACATCAGTTTTATAGATTGGATCCTGTGCCAGGTTGACATTCACAATTTCTCCCTAGGAAATGTCAACGAGACAAAACGGTGACTTTGGGGCTCGTAAACACGACATCACAGCGTGCTCCGAATCACAGCGGGCAAATTAGCGATGACATCACAGCAGTCTGATTGGATGCCATCACTTGACGTCATAATAGTGGGGAAAAAAAAATCAATAAAAAATTGGCCCGCATCAAAGTCAAGTTAAATCATCCAACAAAAGTTTCTTCATAGGTTTTTGTTCACCGTAAAGACGATTTCGATTGATGACAATTTGTCAATGTGTCAAAGAAATGAACATTCATGTTTAGTGAGCAATTGAAGATCATTTTTAGAACCAAACCCTACTTTGAAACCCTAACCCAAGTTTGAAAACCTAATGTAAAAATCTCAGCTCGTTTAAGATAAGATAAGAAAACTTTTATTTGTCTCACAATGGAGAAATTCGCAATTAAAATTAAAACCTGACTTTGAAACATTAACTTTAATTAAAAACTATTCTTTTTAAACCCTAATTTGAAACTCGAACCTTTGTGTGAAACCCCAATTGAAAAGCCTTAGCCCTAACTTAAAACCCTACTTTGAAACCTGACATCACACATTCCGATGACTGCATCCATCGAACCACTGTTAGAAACTTGGGATCAGTCTGCGCGCTACCGATTCATCGCAATCGACTTGTTGGGCACCCCTGATTTAGCGCAAACTAAGAATAAAGCTAACTTTCTTTTATAAATATCGATGAAACAATCAAACGCAAAAGTCTCCCGTCAACCTCACGTCCAAGTTTTTGTGAACCTTTGTTGTTTTCTCATCGCCA